ATGTATGTAATGTAGAGCGCTTTGAGTGGCCATAGTTATGCGTAAAAATACGCTATATAAATGCAGTCCATATAAATGCAGTCCACTTATATCAGGATTAAAGATTTTGTCCACTGTACTAGTGTGTGTGTGTATGGTCCTGTATGTGCTGCTGTATATATACTGTACTGGTGTGTGTGTGTATGGTCCTGGTTGTGCTGCTGTATATACAGTATACTGTACTAGTTTGTGTGTGTATGGTCCTGGTTGTGCTGCTGTATATATACTGTACTAGTGTGTGTGTATGGTCCTGGTTGTGCTGCTGTATACAGTATATACTGTACTAGTGTGTGTGTGTGTGTGTGTGTGTGTGTGTGTATGGTCCTGGTTGTGCTGCTGTATTTATACTGTACTAGTGTGTGTGTGTGTGTGTGTCGTCCTGTATTTGCTGCTGTATATATACTGTACTATTTATGTGTGAGCCTTGACAGGATTGGTGTTTGCCGTTTGTTGTGGTCTTCGTTATAAGTCCAGTCCCTTGGGAGAAGGGACACACACACACACCTGCTATAGTCTCTATCGTTCAGTGGCGCCACAGATACATTTATGTCCTTTGATAAATGTTGTTTTGTAATTATTGTAGCAGGGAAACACATGTCTTATGCAATATGCAAAAGCATTTGTTGCCCGGTGCCTTGCCTGTCCTCCCCCCGCTCCGCCCCCCCCCCCCAACCCCACACTCACACTCACACACACACACACACACACACACCTCCTTGTTTAAAGGTGGGTTGTGTTTGTATGGATACTTCATCACCCCCGGCCCCTTGTGCTTTAGACGAGGTCTTCCCAGAACCGCTGGCTTTGCTGGCTGAGAGAGAGAGAGGGGAGAGAGAGAGAGATGGCTAATTTGCAGGAAATATAAGGGAAAAAAAAGTTTGTGGAGGAGCGTTGGCACGCGTGGGTGGTGTTGGTTATTTTGTGTTCCGGCGAAAACCACCAGAGAGAAAACACAAAGTCTTTATTATGCTCTCAGACTGATATCAGTAATACTATCTGTGGTGGTGTGTCCTCCTTGGGGGAAATAGATAAGTTGAAGGCAGAAAGAGAGACAGAGAGAGAGACAGACAGACAGGGAGGGAGAGAGAGAGAGGGAGAGAGAGATAGATAGAGAGAGAGAGGGAGGGAGAGAGAGAGAGACAGAGAGGGAGGGAGAGGGAGGGAGAGAGAGAGACAGTGACGGCCCTAATGAGGAGGAGAAAACCGTGCTTCTGTCAGCATTGTCCTGCAGAGATTTTTTAATTTCTTTCCGGCAAAAAAGGGAATCCAATCTCTGCAGCTCACCTTAGGTAAAGGCAGGTAGACGTGCGTGTGTGTGTGTGTGTGTGTGTCTGCATACGCATGTGCACGTGTGTGTGTGTGTGTGTGCCAGACGGATGAGAAAGGGATTGTAGCATGGCTGGATACACCTGGGCGTTGTTTAAGCTGTGCTCCAGGGCACCTGTTCTAAATGCTAAACGCGATTGGCGGCGCAATCCTGCCTATACACCTGCCGTGAGAATGTAGGTCTGTGGGGGGGGGGGGTGTGTGAGTGTGTGTGCGTGTGCGCGTGTGTGGGTGTGTGAGGGTGCGCCGAGGGGATGGCCGGGTATGTGTGGAGATATGTAGAGACTATAGTGGCGACGCGACAATGCGAGATGGCACTAGACAGTTCAAGATTAGCGTTGGAGGGGAAAATAAAGGCGATGGGGGAATTGGTCGGTTTGAGCGCAGCCATCTATGTTTCTGGAAGATAAGATGAGGCTGGAGTCCAGGGGACGGTATGTGTGCAGCCCACAGGGCTTCCTGTTGATTCTACCCTCAGTATCTCTGGCTGGAGAAGACGCCGTTTTTTTTTTGTGCCCGCGATGCTCTGGCCCGCATATGCTGACGGCTACTTCAGGGCGAGGATAGCCAAGAGCCTTGGCACGGTGCATTGAAAACAATGGAGTAGTCATTGTGTGTGTCCGTGACAAAGAGAGAGAGAGACAGAGAGAGACAGAGAGAGACAGAGAGAGAGAGCAGTTTTTGTTGTCCTCTGTGTCAGTTTCTCACATCACACACGGTGGTGAGAAGCAGGTGGCCACCCCCCAGACAGGCTTCTGCCAATAGATAATTGACCAATGGCCCCTTCTCCGCAGGGGGTGAGGGCTGTCGGGGCTGAGTGGTTGGGGGGGGGGGGGGGGGGGGGGGGGGGGGGGGGGGTGGTGGGGGTGGGGGGGACAAGCATCGATTGTGAGCGGAGGGGGGGTCATGGCTGGTAACGGTTCACACTCGCGCTCCGCAGCAGAGAGGCTGGCGGCTGCCTCGGTGTTACAGACAAGGCCGTCATCATTCATATTCAAGGGCACGCGCGAAAGGGATCCTCGCCGCCGCAGAGAGGCACTGCGCCGTAGACGCGTTCGTCTTCCAGAAAAGGGGCTCTTCCGCTCTCGCCTTAATGAGAAGGGGATGGGCCCCAGCTGCTAGCCGCCCCCCCCCCCCCCCCCCCCCCCGACACACACACACACACACACACACAAGCTCCTGTGAACCAGCCTCGGCTCCCCCCTCCTCCTACTCCAGGGTCTGATGTGGAGGATCTGACGCCGTGACATCAAAGTCCTCCTCCTTACTGCCGGGTCCTTGAGTAGGTCGATCGTAGGACATCCCCCCCCTCACCCTCCCTCTCCCCCCCCAGCTCCTCCTAGTGATGACCACACCCCATACAACCCCACCCCCCCCACCCACCCTACCCCGCTCTTTGCCGTATTGTGTCTCATGCGGTTGAGATGTAACAGATAGCAACGGGTCCTCTTCCTGCTGACCAGTCACAGACTAAGCCGAGAGCCACTCTGACCGGCGCGCGCGGCCATCTGTGTCCCTAGCCATGGCCACGGCCTCGCTTCACCACACACAAGACCTCACAAATAATTGTGTGTTTCTGTTTCATTTAGAAGAATCTCGGTCGTCATTTAGTGTCGCTGTGCTGCCGCGGCTCGTTAAAATCATTTCCAAACGCACCCCGAGACATGAATTATTTCGGGCCGTGTCCTGAAAAGTTTATGAAAAGTGGTTAGTGGGTTGGATTTGATTATTCAGTGGTTTGCCCGCAGGTCTCTGCCTGGACAAATACTGTGGTGGCTGTCTCATTGGGGGCCATCTGTGTCCTCTCATCCAATGACACCAGAGCGGCGCACTCCGACGGTACTTTACAATGCAGCCGTTGGAACCTGCTTCACATTTAGATGACACTGGAAATCGCATATAAATACATGTTTTCTTTACGGGGCACAAAGTCGTAACACAGCGGATTACGCCCCCCGGAGAATAGGAATAAATGGGGATTACAAAAAAACATTTCCCACCCCCATCCCCATCTCCCCCCCCGTCGGACCATTAAGCACGCGGGGGTACTCGCCTGGGTGTGTCTGTGTTCATCATGACCTTGTTAACTGTTTCAGCCCGCATTGTGTGTTAATTGGCGCCGCTCACCAGCTGGGGGTAATGTTAATACACAGAGGGGGGAAGCTGCCATGCCAGCTTCCTGAAGCAGTTAAGTGTGCCAAGGCGCCGCGCGCGCCCGCGTCCCCGAGCTGGAAGTGAACTCTTTGATGTGATTGCTTCTGAGAAACGTCATGATTTATTGATGCGTCCATTAAAGTAGCATGGGCGAGGGGGTGGGGGGAGGAGGAGGAGGAGGAGGAAGAGGAGGAGGATGAGTGTGGGATGCAGAGAAGAAGATGCCCTCCTCCTCAACCAAAAAAAAAAAAATCTCCGTATTTCGCTTGAATTGTGCTTTACGATCTTTATCCAAGGTTTATCCTCGGCTCTAGTCTTTGTTTTCCCACTCAAAATGAAAATGTGCCTGGAGCAAAGCCCTGTGATATTGGTGAGACTTTCTGAGGATTCTCAAGGCTTTCATATTTTGTCTGATATTTAGGTGTGTATGATATTTATATTTAGGCGACGACAAAATATATAAACGGGGCAGACGACGCAAGTTCATTATTTGAAGTTGTGGTAGTGCTGGACATTTACTACACTTACTTACATTTGCAATTACTCTAATGAGAGGCTTGTGCAAATGGTCAAAAGTGAACCCTCCACTCCCCCTCCCCACACACACACACACACACACACACACACTCTGTCTTTGAGCTTTTGATTAATATTTAGTCAAACAATTTCATTAACTAATTGCCTTGGCTAGGCTAGACAATCCCTCCAACTGTCATTTAATTGGCCCAGTAATGATCCATTGACTGATCTACATACAGATTTTACCCTAAATTTCCATCATTTTTCATGGCTGGGCTGCTGTGTCACTGCATGGTTTCCGCAGCCTGTGGACACACACTGTTCCTAAAGCAGTCCCTTCTCATTTCTAGACAATTATTTCTAATTTCTAGCCAGTTATTTCCAATTTCTGGCTGATGTTAAACCTATAAAAGTACAAATCTGTGCTTTATGAAGTATGAAATTACCAATTACATCTAAATGTTTTAACCAATCACACTGTTCCTTGCAAGGTGTGTAATTCGCCACTGTGAATTACTTTGACTAAGTGACCTATTGTGCCAAGACAGATATGTGCTAATGGTTGGAAAAGACCTGCGTTTTAAATTCACAAAATCCATTATTGCCGTTATGCATTATACATCTTTATTTTACTTTCATTCAGCCAGGAGGACTGTGCTTTGAAACCTGCTTCTGCTCAAACTGTTCTCCTATGTATTCTGCACCGGGGTCATATTTATATTCTGCTTGTATTATTCAGCATCTATTGTTTACTTTCAGCTCGGCCGTTTTTCAAAGAACAATGTTAAATGGCCTTTGCAAATTCATCTGGCGTTAATTCACTGCGCAATATACTGCCACGCCAGCCTACTCTGCCGATAAGCTAATTGTTTATTGTTCTGTATATTTATTATAATATATGCTATTGTGGATGGTTTAATCCAAAGGACCTTAAAAGTGAGTGAATGCATTCTCTGTATGCGTAGCCCCAGTGGGAAATCGGACCCCTAACCCAGGCAGTATTGATGCCTTGCTCTACCAATTGAGCTATACGGGGGGACTACTTACTTATTATCATTATTTACTTTTGCTTTTACTTTTTGTGCTTTATGCTGTTGTTTCTTGGCTGTGTGTGTGTGTTTGTGTGTCTGTCTGTCTCTGTCTCTGTGTGTCTCTCTGTTTATGTGTGTGTGTGTGTCTCTGTGTTATTGTGACTGTGTCTTTGTGTGTCTTAGTGTGTCTGTGTGTGCGTGCGTGATTGTGTGTGTGTGTGTGTGTGGTGTGTGTGTGTGGTGTGTGTGTGTGTGGGTCTAATAATACACAGCAATGTGTGCCCAAGCCCAATTCAGAAACACGGTGCATATTTGTTGTCCCAGGTTCCTCCCGGGAGGTGAAAGCTGCTGCCGGCGTCTCGGAGCGCATCGTCCACAAGTTGCGAGGGAAGACCGAGTTCACCGTCCTGGTGACGCTCAAACAGGAGCACCTCAACTCCGGCGTCATCCTCTCCATTCACCACTCCGAGCACAGGTAGGAACGACGCACTCGATAAACACAGAAAGTCTGTCCCAGCGCTGTCCCAATGAGTTCACCTGGACTCTGCATGGCCTCCCTCCCCCTTACTGGTGTACAGCATCTGGTATATGCTGTGTACAAGAAAAGATACTTGCTCTGTTAGCATCCTTGCTGCACCGCCAGCGATATATTGTTGTTTTACTTTCTACTGACAGATGTACTTATTGTACGTCGCATTTGGACCAAAGTGTCTGCTAAATGCCCTCAATGTAAATGTGAATGTAATGCTGGCTCTGTTGGGACTGGGCTTATCCGACTGGGCTTAAGTCCAATGTGTGTTGTGTTGAGTCTATGACCCGGTCGGCACTCATTCAGATTAATTTTAAAACATTTAGTTTTCCCCTCTGCTTTAGCCTCCTGTCCACACTAAAACACAACAGTGTCTGTCCACCAAAGAATATTTTCAAAAGCGCTCTCCCGGGTGGATTCATTAGAAAGCGCCGCTCTCAGTGCTGCAGTCAGAAATGGAAATAGACTCAGCATTTCTACCATAGACGCTCTCGTTCCCATCTCTATTCCATACACACCATCACTATGCAGAGCCGCAGAGAATACAATGTCATGTACATATTAAACGGTACAATGCAGTCTTTATTTAAATGACGTGAAAATATCGTAACGTGTTTGTCAGGCTTCCTAGTCGATGGAGGCCTACGCACACCAAGTCCGATGGCATTGTGACTGTCAGTTGACCAAACAATGCCAATCATTTTTGCCAACATATTATTCACAGACCAATTAACGATGCTAAGCAGCAGTGGCAGCAGCAGTGCCAGTTTAGCATGCTAATGCTTGTCGTTAATTTGCACTAGCCGTGCTCCACTCGCTGTGCTACACTGGCTGTGAATGTCATTTGTCATAATGTCTTGATTGAGCTCTGTGTATATAAAAGTCAGCATAGAGAACAGACCTCACAGAGCTGTTAATGGCGCCTCTCCCCCACCACCACCACCATCACCACCATCATCATTGTCATCATCACCACCCTCACCCTCACCATCAATACCCCCACGCTTTCAGAGTGAAAGCCTTTAAATCATACGGGGGGAGGTAAATCTATTAGATTAGAGCTGGTACATCAATCCGTTCCACTAAAGTGTCCCTGTTTTGTCATTGTGAATAATGCCCAAAGAAAATGGTTTGGGGCCTGGATAGGCCAATCCTTAAAAGCAGCAGTAGCGATGACCATATTGGCAGCTTCTTCCATTAGTGTCACTCCTGGCTGGCTGAAGCACCGTGCTGCGTAGGCCTGGAATACCAATGCCATGTCATGTGTTAAGCTGATCCCCACCACACCCCAATACTGTTGTTTTGTCTTGATGATGTTGCACATAATAGGTCGACACCATCTGCCACTTGGCTTATATTGTCTTGATGGGATTATACTTTGAGTGACGGGTGGAAAACAGCATGTCTGATACATCGCTGTTGTCTGGCTAATCGACCACCTGAGCAATCGGTTTGCTTCTGGCACTCCAGTAAAATCATTCCCTTCTGGATTTTAACCAGGGCTGCCACTAATGATTATTTGAAAAAACAATAACAAATGTAATCATTGGTTGTAGAAATGTCATAAATAATATATCTGATGCTACCAAAGCCAGAAGTGATGTCTTGAATAAGCTTATTATAATCTGAGACAGAGAAAATATTTGCATTTCTGAAGCTATAACCAGCATTTATTTTTTTAACTGTTAAGAGTCAACGATTGTTTTCTGCTGTTTGTTTTACTGCACTGTAAGGTGATAATAAAAGAAAAAAAGAAAAAAGAATGATCTTTCGATCAACTATATGATCAACCAAACGTTTCAGCACAGGAGTCAACACCGGGTAACTCTTCTTGATCTCTCTGAAGTCCCTCTACTGGGACCCCCGTCCTGGGACCCCTGTCCTGGGACCCCCGTCCTGGGACCCCCGTCCTGGGACCCCCCTCCTGGGACCGCCAGTAAAAGGGGTTTATAAATGTATTCAAATTAATTCATTTATCATTGACGTGAATGGGTACCACATGCACATTTAAAGGGGTGACCCCCCCCCCCCCCAAACAAAAGACACAAAAGAGGACAGAAGAGTAAATCATGCCTATATCTATGTGTTGACTCAGCAGGGATGATATCAAATGCAAAAAGTTGGTCTGCAGGACAATAAATCTTTGACAGCACCAGAACGGCTGACAGTCTGACTGCATTATATTTCATTATTTTGAATTGTCACCTGGTGCCAGAAATGTTTGTTTTCCTTCACATAAAGACATTTCCACCATAAATAGATGCAGAAAAAGGCACAAATTGGTGCATACACCAATTTGCAGGAATTCACCAGAATGCAGGAAATGAAGTGTTTGACGCTCAGTATTTCCTGGGGGGAGGACCCCCAGACCGCCCGCTTATAATGTGCCCCCCCACAATGTTTGAATGAAGTTGGGGATAGCCACTGCTATCCTGGGACTGTGGGCCCGGGACGGGGGCCATTCCCAGCGTCCCTCCTGGTGTCTTTTTTCTGACCTTGCCCCTAGTAAAGGTCATAGCGAACAGCAGTATCTGGATGTAGCTTGTTGTGAACACATCTCTCTCTCTCTCTCTCTCTCTCTCTGGCCCACCCCCAGATTCCTGGAGCTGGAGAGCAGCGGGCAGCGCAGCGAGGTGCGTCTCCACTACCGCACCAAGGGGCAGCAGCCTCACACGGAGGTCTTCCCCTACAGCTTGGCGGACAACCAGTGGCACAAGGTGTCTGTGGCCGTCAGCGCCTCGCACGTCATTCTGCATGTGGACTGCAACAGGTAGGCCAGGTGGTCGTCAATAGTATTGGCATGACCTTTTTAAGTTCTTATAAGAAGATGTATTACATGACTAGGGGTAATCCATATTATAATCATGACTCATATAGGGCTGGGCGATATGGCCAAAATCTTCTTCTATCCCGATATAGGTCATTTAATATCTCAATAACGAGATATATCACGATATAGCATGTTTTCTGTTAATTTATGAAATAAATAGTCTGTAAAAAATGACCACATTGTAAAGCCTATTTTTGTATACTATTTCTGTAAACTTATGACATATCACGATTTTACAATATCCAAAATCTAAGACGATATCGTCTTATTGGTATAATGTTGATGTATTGCCCAACCCTAGACTCATAATTAAAAGTGAAATGTAGCTTCTCGATGCTGCATTACATGACTTGGAGTAATCAGTATTATAATCGTGACTCGTCATTAAAAGTTAATAATAACTTTCCGAAGATGCATTACCAGATTTCCTTAATTGTATTCAGCCAATGCTGAGTTGTTTTACTGATGGGTGGGTGTGGTCTGTTTAGTCATAGTGCGTTGCTAGGAAACTGCCTTTTTTAAACAGTAAGATAACACATTTTAAGCCAATCTATTTATTGATGTTTAAAAAAAATTAAAAAATAAACAAAAATAATTGTGCAATGCATTGAATGTATGGTTGCTCCATTATCCCCCATGACGATGATGATTATAAAACATAGTTCTGGTCCTTGATTCTGATTGGCTCGAAGCCGTTGTAAAATACTTTATAAACACACACCTGTGACTGCATAACAATTCATTTTTAGTATTAATCTGTCGCCAATCTCAAAAATGTATGCTAGGCTGTGTTGCTTGGCAACCATTTTGCTATCTTTGGGAACTATATGGCTCGGCGGAAGAATGATGATTTGTTTTCAATAAATTATCACATTTTATGTTGCCGTGGGTTTATCTTGTGAAATCTTACTAGGTAGCACTGGCGTAACTATCGACGGTGCAACCGGTGCATTACACCGGGGCCCAGACGCCGGGGGGGGGGCCCATGAAGACGGCAACTGCGCCCCCCCCCCCCCCGTCAACAATCGCGCACCATCCCCCGTCAACAATCGCGCACCCCCCCCCCCCCCCCCCCCCCCCCCCCCCCGTCAACAATCGCGGGGGCCTTAAAATATTATTTGCACCGGGGCCCATCATCACGTCGTTACGCCAGTGCTAGGTAGTAACCATTTTAGTAACCGTTCGCATCGTGCCTGACAACGCCCCCAGCTGTTCTAAAATCACTGTAAACCACGGCCTCCTGTGGCTTATTGCTTAAATATAATATAAGTCTAATAGGACATTTTGCCCAACTGATGTAATCTGTGTTTGTTTGGCAGGATCTATGAGAGAGTGGTGGAGATTCCTTACATGGATATCCCTGAGGACGCCTCCTTCTGGTTGGGACAGAGGAACGCTGCTCATGGCTTCTTCAAGGTTGGACTTCTTCTTAAAAACTCAACTGAAAACGCACAAATACACACACGCACGCACGCACACACACACACGCACACACACACTCACTACTCGCTATATATATAGTGAGTTTGCCATTTTGTAGTGCTGCCCGAATGTATAGGGACCCTATATAGTGGACTCATATCAGCATATCCCACGCATCCCATGCATCATGAAAAGTAGTGTACAACTGATGATCTCTGAGCACT